AATTATATAAAATTATATATAATTTTATATAATTATATATAAAATATTTTTTTCTCGGGATTAGTGATAAGAAAAAAATTAATAAAATTTTGTAACTATTAAGCATAAACAATGATTACAGAAATAAATATTTAATCGCTCGTGACATTTTTTTTTGAAATACTGATTTAGAAAATTATTGAAATATATGCAATGTTATATATTTTTCTTATTATGTGAATAAATACAATTGAGAAGCTACGGAGCTATATATACTGACGATAAGTGCATTCGGATATAGGTTTTTTGCACATGCACAATAGATTTATTAGCGAACTATATTAATTTCCAGTAAATATAGATATTAGCTGCGTTTAGAAAAAAAAAAGCAGCTTTGCAACTGTTGTAAAATTCTTCAGGACGATTCGTTCTTGTTATTGTGTTTTTATGGATTTACATTAATATATAAATAAATTATATTGAAAAATCGTACAAGAATTTTACAGCAGTTGCAAAGCTGTTCTTTCTGCTGAACGTAGCTATTATGGTCCTCTTTTTAACTTTAGCAAACTGACATTATTTTAATTTGTCGTTATATTGATGTCAAATGACAACAAATAACATTAGCTTGTTACTTGAGGATTCTTTTTTTTTTCTTTTTTTTACTTTTAATATAACATACTACGTAAAAAAATCATAAAGTACGTTATAATCAAATTACTTTTATACATTTTTCAGATTATGTGGCATATACAATTTAATTTATAAGAGGCCCTCCACCACCCCCATCGATTATAATCGACGGTCCTCTTTTTTTTTATTTCAGCAAGTCACGTTATTTTTCGTAATTTTGATATCAAAATAATATGGAAAACATCATTTTAACGTTAAATGACGACAAATAACGTCAGCTTGCTACTTCAGTTTTTACACATTTTCCTTTTTTCTTTAACTTTTAAACCAACATACTATACAAAAAAGTTATAAAATATATTACACTCGAATTACGCATATACGTCATATAATTTGATAAAAACAAGTTAATTTATAGAGGCCCTTCACCATATCCCCTGCCATCCGATCGGCAGTCCTCTTTCCTTTACAGTACCATAAAATGGGATAATTTTTGTCAAAAATCAGAATAAATTTAGCCCAAATGTTGACAATACAGCATACAAAATTTGGACATATGACATCTTAAAAACGTAATCTTATAAAGAATTAATCGAACTATTGTTTTAACAAAGTTTTAAGAATCTTATGTCATGATTTTGGACATATGCAATGCATATGTATTTTTACAATTTGTGTCAAAGTTTCTGGAAACGAAGGCTCTTATTCTGTAACTCTTAATGACAGTATCGATGTCGTTATATTGTCATTGCGTAATTTTTTCATGTATGAAATCTGCTCAATGACAATATATAACAATATTTACAGTTACTGTCGTTAATTGTAAGAATTACAAAACAGAGGCTAAAGTTACCCTATTTTATGATATATTTCTTTACATTATTTTTATTATATACATTATTTTTTATACAATTTACTTTACATTATACATAACATATTAGGTGGATCCATATATTCGTTCGGTTTTTGAAGGCTAAAATTGTTTTGAAAATAAAATTTTTGAAGGCAACCAGAACCGGAGATATTCGTAAAAAATTTGCACTACTAACAAAAACCGAACGAATATATGGATCCACCCAATATTACAAAAAATTACATTATAAAACTGAAAATATTATATAATGTACAATATGTATACGCGTAAAATTTCTTTTTAACATGAAATTATAGAGAAAACATTCGGTATGCGTAAAACGTAACACAAAATTCTCACGATCGCGATGTAAAATGTGGCTATACGACAAATGATACGGCCAATCGACAAATAATTATTAGCATTTATTATTAATTATCAAATACAACTGCAAAATTTTTGCTTTTTTTTAATTTATGCGAGCAATCGTGAACAACCAAAAAGATTGTTAATAAATTTATTTTATATATATATATATA